ACATGAAAATTGCATGTTATTTTTATTTAGTACTGTCTTGAATAAGCTATTTCACATAACAGATGTTTATATTTACTCCACAAGACCAAAAAATAACTAAATTTATAAAAATGACCCCATTCAAAAGTTTAAATCTTAATACCGTGTGTCATTTCCTGGATGATCCAGGACTGTTTTTATGTTTTGTGATGGTTGTTCATGAGTCCCTTGCTTGTCCTGAACAGTTAAACTGCCCGTTGTTCTTCAGAAAAATCTTCCAGCTCCTGCACATTCTTTGGTTTTCCAGTCCAGAATCTTCTGCATATTTGAACCCTTTCCAACAGTGACTGTATGATTTTGAGATCCATCTTTTCACTCGGAGGACAATTGAGTGAATAATACATAACAATTACAAAAGGTGAAAACATTTACTGATGCTAAAGAAGGAAACACGATGCATTAAGAAGGTGTAAACTTTTTGAATTGGATGATCAGTGTAAATTGTCCTTATTTTGTCTTCTGGGAAACATGTATGTATTTATGTAGCTTCTGAAGTGCAGTACTAAATGAAAAAAATATGATCTTTAATCAAAATAAGAAAAATGTACACATCATCATCCTGTTCAAAAGTTTACACCCCCGTCTCTTAATGCATCATGTTTCTTTCTGGAGCATCAGTAAATGTTTTCACCTTTTGTAATAGTTGTGTTTGAGTCCCTTAATTGTCCTCAGAGTGAAAAGATGGATCTCAAAATCATACAGTGACTGTTGGAAAGCGGTCAAATATGCAAAAGATACTGGAAAAGAATTTGTGGGACCTGAAGGATTTTTCTGAAGAACAGCAGGCAGTTTAACTGTTCAGGACAAACAAGGGACTCATGAACAACTATCACAAAAAAAACCCCCCAAAAAACCTGTGGATCATCCAGGTAACAACACAGTATTAAGAATCAAGCGTATGTAAATCATTTTCTCACGTGATAATTTTTATAAATTCAACTATTATTTTCTCTTGTGGACTATATGTAAACGTCTTTTATGTGAAATATCTTATTCAGGTCAATACTAAATAAAAAAACAACATGCATTTTGTATGATGCCTCTTATTTTGGTAAAATAATTAACATTTTGCAGATACTGCAAAGTGTATGTAAATTTTGACCACAACTGTTATATATATATATATATATCACAAATGTACATGTATATAACAAAAGCTTATATTAAATAGTATTTACAAGCAAAAATAGATACATATTATATAGCATTTTTGAGTTGTGGAGCCCTAGTTGAAATGATTAAAAAGTGATTGTTACTCCTTTCCTCTTACCAGATAATTAAGTATATTCACATGAAATTCACATGAATGGAAATCTTTTTATTATGTGCAAAGAAAAAGATCATGTAGTCATACAAGAGACATTAAAGTAGCACTTTATATATAGATATTGCTCTTTATTGGTCATTATACCAAATTATTCAACCACAATATGTCAAGACTGACCAATCAGAATGAAGTATTTCAGGTAGCTGTTTAGTGACGTCATTTTGGATGCTCTGTGAAAAGGGCTCTGTTTCGTATTGAATTAGGTGTTCTTTAGTTAGTGTGAAATTGTGTTAGTGCATGCTTCTTTTCTTCCACCATGCTTAATGAAATCTGTTCTTCCTCTTCCTTCTTTTTCATCTTTATTTTCATCTCCTGTCCGTGTAGTTTCGCTGGTGGTGCAGTGGACGGACGTCACGCAGTTGGACAAGAACGCCACGCTGGTTTTCCCCGAGAGCATCCGCGTGAGCACACGTGACACCGAGCACTTCTTCTCCATGTTCCTCAACATCAACGAGACCTTCAAACTGATGGAGCAGCTGGCCAACATCGCCATGAGACAGCTGCTGGACAACGAGAGCTTCTCCGCCGATCGCTCGCTCCCCAAACCCTGCAAGACCCTGAAAAACGTCTCTGCACTCAAGAGGTGAGCAGACTGCATGTGATCCTGGTCTGATGAGATGAAGTTTGCATGTTTGACCAGGTCTTGAATTTCATTGTATAAACAGAATGTCCTGTTTGTCAGAATTGTCTGGTTTTATTTTGTGTAATATACCTTTTTAAGGGGTCAGTATAAGTAAATAGATGTTGGTTAATAACTTAAAGTAGTTAAACAGTAGCTACCATCACTACAAGTTGAGTTTCTTTTCACATGTTTCAGGGACTTGGACGCACGTGCAAAGAATGAGCGGTACAGAGCGCTATTCCGACTCACACAGGACGAGCGTTTGGATGGACACACCGACTGTACGCTCTGGACACCGTTCGCTAAGATGCATGTCGTCGGCCAAATGTTTGTTTCTAATAACTACATCTGCTTTGCCAGTCGAGAGGAAGATCTGTGTCAACTTATCATTCCACTGAGAGAGGTACATGCACATACACACGCACACTGTCCCTGAAGCATGTTTTATTAGATTGTGCTGGTTTTAACCCTGTGAGAAGACTTTTTTTATTCAGTTAACTCTTTTGAAGAGATTTTTAACAGAGTTAAGTCAAATACAGTTTTAGAGTTTTTAGTGAAAATAATTTGTAAAAACCTGATATAATTTAGCCATACATTTTTCTCACCATGAAAACAGCCACAGAAGCTGGCATAGCGTTAAACACAAACAAACAAGCAAACACACACACACACAGTCACAACAGCTTGACAGACACTTCCTCTCTCTCATTTTCTCTCTGTAGGTGACTATAGTGGAGAAAGCGGACAGCAGCAGTGTTTTGCCGAGTCCACTGTCGATCAGCACTAAAAACAAGATGACCTTCCTGTTTGCCAACCTCAAAGACCGTGACTTCCTGGTACAGCGCATCTCTGACTTCCTGCAGCGCACGCCTGACAGGCCATGTGGCCTGATCACGCAATCTGTGAGTCAGAATTTATCAGAATAGTATAGTATTTCAATTTTATGTACACTGGTGTTGATCAAACGTTTGGGATCAGTACGATTTTTAAAAAAAATTTTTTGAAAGAAGTCAAAAATACAGTAAAAACAGTAATATTCATGAAATATTATTACTATTTCAAAGAACTGTTTTCTATGTGAATATATTGTAAAATGTGATTTATTTCTATGATGCGAAGCTGAATTTTTAGCATCATTAATCCAGTCTTCAGTGTCACATGATCCTTCAGAAATCATTCTAATATGCTGATTTGCTGCTCAAGAAACATTTCTGATTATTATCAATGATGAAAACAGTTGTGCTTTAAACAGCATTTATCTGAAATAGAAAACTGTCATAACATTATAAAAGTATTTACTGTCACTTTTAATCAATTTAATGCATCCTTGCTGAATAAAAGTATTCATTTAGTTCAAAACCAAAAGTGTTACTGACCTTAAACTTGTTAACTAGTGTATTTACTTTTTCATGCTTACAGACTTTTGCCCCATTGTAGTGTAACTCGTTTCCACATTTGTCATTGCTTTCAGGAGAATCCCAGCCCGAGTACGCCACCCTCTCTGCCCCCATCCCCTCCTGTCCTGGGGCTCGGAGAGATGCCCCAAAACCAACACTACAGCCCCAATCTGCCCACTGCCAAGAAGGGCCTACTGCAAATCTACCAACAGGACGTCCCGGAGGAGCTGGGGCCCAAAGTGGTGAGACACACCCCTCTCACGTCCATCAGCCCCAATGTGAAGTGGTTAAAACAATTATGCATAAAAGGATTTTAAAGTCATTTTATTTGATTATTGTAATTTACACAGCTATGCAGCAATTTAATGTGTTCTTGCTGGATAAAAGTACAATATTTTTTAACAAACAAACAAGAACTTCCTGACACAAACAAGGGTTATTATTGTTAACTAAAAATAAAATAATAAAAAATAAACATTTTTGTTACTTGAAATAAAATAATTTTCAACAGAAATAGAATAAAATATAAAATCAAACTTGTTTTATTTCAGCTAGTTGCCAAGGCAACATTTCTGTTTAGTTAAAGTACTAAAATAACTAAAACTAAATAAACTAAAACTAATAAATAAAAATGAATAAATACTGTATAGACATGTATAAAATCGTATTAAAAGAATAAAAAAGGAAATAAAATTTATCAAAAATTTTAATTAAAAAAAAGAAAAAAAAGTTGCTAAAACTTTAACTAAAATGAAAGTGAAAACAGAAACGATAACAAAACTATAATAACATATCAATGATACTAAATTAACACTGTTCCAAACTTTTGAACGGACAGAAGATGTAATTTAAACTATCACTACTATGTAAGACATTAGTTGCCTGGTGTTTCCTTGGTTTTATGTTGCCCTTGCTCTTTCTCCTCCTCCAGACGAGAGAGAAGATGAAAGAGGAATCATGGAACATCCATTTCTTTGAGTTTGGCCGCGGAGTGTGTATGTACCGCACATCTAAGAGCAGAGAGCTGGTTCTGAACGGGATACCAGAGAGTTTGAGAGGAGAACTGTGGCTGCTGTTCTCAGGTAATGAGTCCTCCAAGCGCCAGGGGCGCTGCTCACCAAGACCACTGACAGTGGGTTTCAGAAGGTTTTCTGTTCTGTCCTCAACTGCAAAGAATCAAAGTGTGCATGTTTGGATTGGAATACTAGTATACTGCAATCAGCAGAGTATATAATGCATACTGCATATAGATTTGTGTTTTAAAAAGTGTATGCAATATACAACAGTCATTTCAAACAATAATGTGCTACACAGTGTTTTATACAATTATAGTATTTATTAATATTTTGAATTTTACCTTATTTCACATGTTTTATTGGCAAGCTTCACTTATTGGTAATTTTACTTATTTGTAAAATGCGTTTGATTTTAGATTTTTCTTTAAGATCACAGTCATACATATAAGCTTTTATTTTTGTGTTTTCATTTTTTTAAATTTTAGTTTACATTTTAGTAATTTTGTTAGGTTATTTTCTTTAAATATTTATGTTTAAAAGTTATTTCAATAAACAATATTTCTATTTAACTCTTTCTATTTTTTTCAGTTTGTTTTAGTAATTTCAACTTAAACTTATTTTATTTCAGTTAGTTGTCAAGGCAATATTTCTTTAAAATATTTTTGTCTACCTTTTTTCTAATTTTATTTTATTTCATTTTTGTTTCAATTAACAAAAATAAAAATAGTTTGTTTTTTTTAGCTACCAGTGACAAGACAAGTACAACATTCCAGTCACGTTTGTTTTGTTTTTTGATTCAAATTGAAATATTGTAATTTTGCATTTTTCATCCATTTTGTCTAGAAAAAGATGTTAAAGGGGTCATATGATGCGATTTCAAGTTTTCCTTTGTTTATTCAGAGTCATTTGTCACATTGTAATTGTATTTATTTATTTGGAAGGGACCATGTAAAAAATTAAGCATAAATGTTTCCATTTGATGCTGTTTACCAGAGTTAGCCAATGGTTAGCCAGAGACTATATTTTCATCTGCAGTCCCTTAGCAGGTCACCATTAATAAAAACTGCTTTGTGTGCACTGTTTATATCCTGCACATTTTAGCAAATGCAGTACATCACTTGCGGGTGCAGTGCATAAAGAACATTTGCATACTGTGCACAATTAACATGAGTATTAGTATGCTTGTCTTCACGTGTGTGTGTGTGTGTACCTGTTTTTCTATTCTGGTGGGGACTTAAACCTGAATACACACAGACTCATGGGGACTCGTGTCATGGTGGGGACCTAAATTGAGGTCCTCACGGGTAAACAAGCTAATAAATCACACAGAATGAAGTTTTTTGAAAATCTAAAAATGCAGAAAGTTTCCTGTGAGGGGTAGGTTTAGGGGTAGGGTTGGTGTAGGGCAATAGAATATACAGTCTGTACAGTAGAAAAAGCATTACGCCTATGGAGAGTCCCCACAAGGATAGCTGACCAGACGTGTGTGTGTGTGTGTGTGTATGTGTGCATGTGGATGTGTTTTGACTTCCGCTGCATGTGTGTGACCATCATGTTTACACATCTGTGTGAGATCTCACACACTGTCAGAGTAAAACAGACCATCAGCTGTTGTCATGGAGCTGCTCTGCTCCTCATTACCATCACATGACTTTTAAACCGTTATTTTTCAGGTGCTCAGAATGAGATGGCTACACACCCGGGTTACTATGGCAGTTTGGTTGAGCAGGCGATGGGTAAATGTACTCTAGCGACGGAGGAGATTGAGAGAGACCTGCACCGCTCCATGCCTGAACATCACGCCTTCCAGAACGAGATGGGCATCGCTGCCCTGAGACGCGTCCTGACCGCCTACGCTTACAGAAACCCCAGCATCGGATACTGCCAGGTACACACACACACACACACCACTCTGATGTTGAGTATACAGTTACAGTCAGCCCAAAAAGTATTTGGAAACTTAACCCACACTTATCTATGAATACCATTGGTTTACTCTTTGCAGCTCTGTGTGGAGGTATGATCATTTGAACCAATGAGATTTTATTGTGGCCCAAACTACCTAGTGTGACCATGAGACCATGTGAACAACAAAATGTCTTGTCACGATTGATTTATGGGTTTGTGTTTTGTGTTATTCTTGGTCTGGACATGTTGTCTTGTTGTCTTTCTAGATTTGAGATCATATTATAAAATCAAAAGAATCACATTGAGAATTGCTTAGGCCTATACGCTTGTCTTGGTGGCAGAAGAAGCCAAGAAAAAAACAACAGCATAAGATTTATATATAATATATATATATAGCGTGTGTGTATATATATATGGAACGATATTCCGGACAATTTTCAAAAGGAATTGCAAATTGTATTTTCAATTGCGTTTTCAATATGTGGACGCATAAATTGTGACATAATCCAAATGCAATTGCAAATCCTGCATTACCGTTTGCATTTTCGCTCGCACGAACGCACAGCATGGGAAATACAGTTGCAAATGGACTTTGCTTTTTCATTTGAAATTTGGCAGTCACTGTGCGTTCGCGAAAGCGAAAATGCAAACGGTAATGCAGGATTTGCAATTGCATTTGGATTGTCACAATTTATGCGTCCACATATGGAAAACGCAATTGAAAATACAATTTGCAATTCCTTTTGAAAATAGTCCGGAATATCATTCCATACACACACACACACACACACACACACAAAAGACAAACAACTTACGTAACTTACGTACACAATAGACAATATAGAGCTTGTAGCTTGTACAAGTACAGCTACAGTTTGGCAAGGCATAGAAGAAGTATAAATAAATGTTAAATATGAATATAAATAGTGAATTGCGTATTGCCCATGGTGTTTATTGCACATTGGTTTTTATTGGAGAATTTGGGGGCATTTAACTGTGCTTGAGGTAGATGGTAAATTAAAAGTAAAATAAAATTGAAAGTAATTTAATTCAGCATTTTTATGCTATCACTGGGATTTAATTTAACAGTCAAATGACTTAAATGTATACCAATGTATATAATAAGTACAAATTTATAGTAATCAATTTACACATGTAATTATAAGTAAAAATTCTTATTGCCCTTATAAATCAGAGCATCCTTTCTGACAGACTCTTTGCAGCACATCAAAAACAGGAACATGGTGATTGTCAGCCATTGCAACGTGCCACATTAGTTTTTTCTTTGTAATGGGAGGAATCTAGTTTTGTGTGAATTATTTACTTATTTTTTTGTCTTGCATATTTATGATGTTGTTTGTTTTGCAATCTGTGCATGTTAAGTACATTATATAAGTACATTATCTCAGACTTGAGTGCTTCCTGGTTTGAGAGCGGCAGGGCTCTGGCACAGTGTCTGTCTGTGGAGAAGTGATACGAGAGCTGCTGTTTAACATTGTTTTGCTTCGTCTCTCTCTCCAGGCGATGAACATCGTTACGTCCGTGTTGTTGTTGTATTGTACTGAAGAGGAGGCGTTCTGGTTGCTTGTGGCGCTGTGTGAACGGATGCTGCCCGACTATTACAACACTAGAGTTGTAGGTCAGTCTTGCAAATATAAACACATGATGAAAGTTGTAACCTGTCAGATGTGACTTTATGCTCAGCAGTATTTTCTGATCTGTGTCAGGAGCGCTGGTGGATCAGGGTGTGTTTGAGGAGCTCACCCGCGAGTGTTTGCCGCTGTTGTACGAGCACATGCAGGATTTGGGCGTCATCTCCACCATCTCTCTGTCCTGGTTTCTCACACTCTTCCTGTCCGTCATGCCTTTCGACAGTGCGGTGCTGCTGGTCGACTGCTTCTTCTACGAGGGCATTAAAGTCATTTTCCAGGTGCTGCATCACATACTGATGACGTTTCTGAGGGTTTTGCATGCATGCAACACTTGGACAATTTTGCCTGCAAAATATTCACAGCATAAGTTTTCATCATGCAAACAGCAAATGTTAATTTTGTGTGATTACGTATGGAAAATTAATGCGTTAAAATGATAAAAGCATTTAGTGCACCCGCCTGGCCCAGACCTGAATTTCTCTGCCAAATTGATGTGTGATTCATTTGATCGATTTGATTAGATCGCCACATTATGTAATTAGATTAAAAATGTAATCACTTGACAGCCCTTATTTATTAGGGCTGGGTATCGATTCAGATGTTCCAGTTCGATTCGATTTCGATTTTCAAGCTCTCAATTCGATTCGATTTCGATTTTCTATTCGATTTCGATTTTCTATTCGATATTCGATTTTTGATTTCAATTCTCGATTCGATTTGATTATATGAATGAATATAGATTT